ACATACGTTACCGTTTACTTAGCGTCACGTGTATTTTGACGAACATACTCTGTGAAGGTAAGAGAAGTTGAACTTCGTCATCCATTTCTCTGTCTGCGTCTCGGAAAACATCACATGTCAAGTGGTTAATGTAAACATCCGTCCATTATCTTCACAGTTGATATTCGTCAAAACAATACGTGTGAATATAAAGAGAGATAGTGAAAAAGAATAGAGATGGGTAGATAGGCCTATAGATAATATGTATAATTATAGATATAAATAAGTATATTAGGTTAAGGTGTTAGTTTTGATAGCGACTGATATCATCAAATATTTAACTGATGTCATCAAACATTTACCCACGAAAAAAAACAATAGTGCGGTGAATAAAACTAGCTTACATGTAATCCAGATCTCATTTAGATCGACAAATATGATAACTAAATTGCAGTTTATGAAATTGCTGACCGTATAGATACATACATGATGTTGAAACCTCATAGGAAATAACAGGTGCTGAGTGAAAAAATGGAAAGCTGAAGTCTTGCCGTTAATTATCGTACTTACATATAATATTCATTGTTATGAGAATCGTCACCGAAAGAGATTAATCGGGATTAAATTTTATACGACCTCTGTTTTGCCGCCGTGAAGACAACTGCAGCTGTTGGGACTAAAACTATCGTACTGCACGTAACATTCAATGGAGATTTTACGTAAAACCAGGAAGTTGTGTTATTTCATCATGCACACTTTTGCATAAAAAAGATTCGTCATTTGTTGTTTTATAGGACATCATATAAGTAAAAAGGCTTATATGCTAGGAGGTTGGGCCATTTCTTCTATCTCTCTTTGAGATGGGAGGCCCCGCAATTATATATTCATATCTAATTAGCTGCATCGGTCGCTAATAAAGCCTTTCAGCAAAACACTTGTAGTATGCAAACACTTGTGCAATGGTTTAAAGTAATGATTATTTGCTTGTTTCATCATTTAAATACCGGCTGTAGAGTGTCAACTTTCTGCCGGAGGTATTTTCACGATCATTTGGCAACTTTTTATTATTGATTGCAATTTTCTACCATCCACATACATCAGTGGGCTTGGTATTCACAAGTATTTAACAAACGTATAGTTAAATACTTGTAAATATAGTTACAAGCATTTAGGGTTGTACTTTTTGAGGGGAGGGGTACAGCCCATACAGCGTATTTCAGAGACCACATGGGATATGGGTATTTAGATTGTACTAAGGTCAAGCACTTATTTTCACTGGATTATTTGTCTTATCGGGTGAAGTATTCAAACGGATTGATTTTAATCAAAAGCATGATAGGCTTATCAACGACTCCAACAGGCTGGATCACTACATCTGCAATGTATATAGTTTGATAACCTTACCATTTTATAGAGGAACGTATATAATGTGGTCGTATTAGGTCAAAGTTATTACTCTAGCTATTTCTTCGTGCAAAATTATTTGTTCACATTTGTAATTATATGAATATTGTGAACAATAACGTTTATGCAAAGTATTATCCTTTATTTTTAGCAAGACATTTAGCCTATTTGAGAAAGTCTTGAAACCTTTTTTAGGTACTTTTTATGTAAAATATTTCCAGCAACATGTGAAATCTAAAGACAAATCACACCCCTATAGCTGATTTTATTCTGCATAAGTTTAGGACAGAACTGAAAATAAATTGAAGGTCACCCTAGATATCTACCGTATAGATAGATAACGGATGTCTGTATATGGGTCGGGCCTCGCACAATTTTAACCGGCCGTATGGTCTCTAATTTGTTCACAAAAAGAAACCGCCCCCATATTTCCCGGATAAACGAAAAAAACTGCGATAGAAAGTACATAGACCTATGCTACTCCAGGTCAAGATATTCATTTCATCTCTCCAAAGACGCGTTTTGTAATTCTTCCAACTCCGGGGACAAGTTGAATGGGAAACCATTTAAAAGACGCCTGAAACCTAATATGTCAGCTCTTTCGCCAGTTTCAACTATCAATTTAGAAGAAAAGACGATACACCACTAGCCACGCGGCTCAATTAAACACTGTTCATACTACATGTAAAACACAGTTTTCATGTTAATTACAAATTTCGTTTTAGTGCTCAAAACTGAATCGTCACGTGCAGGGATTACAAAACTTGAATGGCGTCCAAGGGATACTTTCTAGGGGCGCATAGAGCAATTGATATTTCATTTGGTTGAACTAAAGTCTCCTTTTCTTAGACATTATGGGATATTTTTTTTTACCATTTTTAAATATCTTATTGATTAGTTTGCTGTCTCTTGGGGCAATTTTGGCCATGTATGGATTATTATTAGAAGTTTCTCAAAGTCAGTCGGTTAAATGGTAGGCGGTTGGCCTCGAAAGCACCATCTACGTTTTGATTTTTCCTTTCTGTATATAGTGAAGCCTTATATCAGATTTTTATTTTTATTTACTTTATATTTCATTGATATATATACAATTATATATTCAGAATATATATATTAA